CATCGGGGAGTCACCGTGTCCGCGACGACTTAACTCCTCTCGAGGAGCATGGTCGTCGAGGAGGGAGGGAGGGAGGAGAGGGAGGGGGATTCGGGTTAGGTTCGGGTTTGGGTTTCGGGTTCAAGCGGCGCGGCGATAGGTCGATTCCATCCCGTTGCCCCGGCTGCCTCGGTTGTGGATTGGCGTGGAAACGGTGGGTCGGGTGGTGCGTCGAAGGGCGGTTCTGCTTTCGGATTGGCCGGCGTCCGTTCGCCTCTCTGGAAGAAGAGGTGTTCCGGGCGGGGCCTCTCAATCTCGCGTTAGCTTCTTGTTAAGCGTCTTTCATTGTGTGTTTAAATTCGTAATTTATGATCCCGACTGAATAAAACAAGAACTGTGCTGGTTCCGCTTACTGGGTGCCGGTGGCTGGTTGGCTGGCCGGCCAGAGAGCTGGCTTGGCTCGAGCTGTTTGGCTGACTGGCTCCGCTAGTTTGCTCGACAACTGGGCACCTCTGTATGACTATGGTGACACTACCGCCTCGATAACTTCCTTTGCTCCCTTGCTTGCTTGCTTCCTTCCATCCTGGCTGCGTGTGCACCCTCTCCCCTCCTCTCTCTCTCTCTCTCTCTCGTACCTTTCTTCCTCTCGCCCTTGCAGTCAATCCTCCGCAGGACGGTGATCCTCCCTACCGGATCCGTCTCCTGCTCGCTTACCAGCCAGTCAAGTAGACGCGTAGACCGAGCAAATCGAGTTATTTGCTCCCGACGGTCCATTTGGCTTGTTCCAACCCTCCCCCTCCCCTACGTGTACGTATGGCGATGCACGTGTCAACGAGAATTCGGTTAAATCATTGCCACGGGGATCACGTAACTAACTGCCATCCTTATCCACCCACCACCCTTTTCTCCCACCATCTTTCGATGCCTTACACTGTTCTGGGCTCGGCTCAGGATCTTGGCCTGGCGTTCGACCAATCTAATGATCGAGCCAACCGAACCTTTCGCTCGTTTTCCAACGGAGGGAGGATGAATAATTTATGCAGTTATTCCTCCCCTCTTTGGGAGGGGGGAGAGGAGGAGTCCTCGTCTCGTTGGAAATCGTTGCTCTTGAAAGTATATATAGATGGAGGATCCGTACAACCGCTTCCGGTTTTCGAATCGATGGATAATGGAACGGTGAAGGAGCATCCGTTCCCGAAATGGTGAAATTGTTTTGAACGAGGGAGGATTTCGCTGTGGGGAGGGGAGGGGGTCGATAGAGATTTGATGTTACTATTGGTATATGTTGCTATCCGATGGTATCCTCCATATTGATTTCGGGGGTGGTTCGTGAGACGAGCTATCGTCGGATGGACTATATTACCGGTAAGTTTATTTCTGAATTTAGGTACGTGGTGGGATGTTTTCGTTGGTAAGAGGGGAATGGAGGAGGAATTCTTCTCTTTTTGTTTTCCATCTTTTTTTTAAAAAAAAGATCTCTCGTATTTTAATCGTTTCCTTTCCGAGTTGAAGACCTCGGACGAGGGGGATGAGGAATAATAAGGCGTGGATATTTTTCCTTATTGGGACACTCTGGAAGATTAGTTTCGCTCGATTTGCTGCTACATCGATCAAATTTCTTTTCCTATTATTTTGAATAATTTATATAGCTTGTGTCTCTTGGAACCGGTATTAAGTAGACACAGATAGTTTTTAAAAGTTAATAAAAGGAAGAGGAAAATAGAAGGAGAATGAGATCTAGTTAAATGATATCTTTTTTTCTTTCGTTTTGAATAAAAACGCAATAATCTTGGATTCCACGTATATTCTGAAGATAATTTTTTAAAATTAGATTAGAAAAAAAAAGAATGAAAATATAATTGAATATTCTTTTTTCTTTTATTTCTTCGTGATATTTTTTTTATGATAAAAAATAAAATGGCAATCGAAGAAAAAATAATAAAAAAGATCTTTTGTAAATCCTTTCGTGTTTAGAAAATAAATTATTTTTAAATCAATATTTTTCTGAAGCTAATTTTGATTTATTTATTATTACAACTCTTATTAAATAAGAGTTGAAGACAGGGAAATGGGACGCAATTGAAAACGATACGAATCTATTAGGGTCGATTCTTGTAATAATCCTTATTAAATGATCGCAATACAGAGCCATATAATAATAATATAGAGACAATGATACGCGATAAAAGCACGACGCTTCATGAAGACACGGCATATGGCGCACTTTATGACACCGCTCGATATCGCTGTTTCAATTATGGAAAATAATCTGTCGATTCTTTGTTTAAATAAGATCTTTTATAATATGTATATATAAGCATTGATATAGCGAAACATATTATTTTATCCACAATTGAAATCAATCTCAAAACGTTTTCATTTTCGTTCAGATAATATTTCTTCTATCTGAAATTCTGGTAATAAAAATATTTAGTAAATCTTGATATTAAATATTAATCATTTTTATCGATATATATTATTACATTTTGTATTGTAATTTATTGTAATAAACATTTTGACAAAATAATTTTAATTTTAATCTGTGGATATAGAAAAAAAAAATATCTATCACAGTTAAACTTTCAAAAATAATAAAAACGTTTCACAAATGCTCACTCCAAATTTTCTTTCCCCGTACAATATAAATTCAACGATAGACTATCATAAATCCCTCGATAGAACTAATATTCGTACACCATCTTGCGAATGACAATTGCAGTCTTGAGAATTACAGAGTCGAACAGTTAATTTCATCACATGATTTGCAATTTAAAATCCATTTGCCTGCATAAATGTATTCACGCGTTTACCGTATATACAATATAAGTATATAAATCCATATACGCACGCAACATAACCTCCATCTCGCTTTGGATATAATTCGAAAAGAATCGCGGTTTCCGTCGGTCTAATCCGCGCTTGGTGGCTACGGTAGAGCATAAATTTCTCGTTAAGGACTGACTTCCATCGTTCGGTTTTATCTCATTCCTCCTATGGAAAGTCATTACGCACCTCCTCTGTGCCTCCATCACGTCCTTCCACGTGCTCTTTCTCATTCGAACTCATCGCAATTCACAATCTTCGGATAATATGTTAATGTAATTTTAATTAATAAAATCGATATAAATAACATCTTCCTTCGTCTCATTATTCCTAATTGAAAATCATTATTTCGTTTGTTTTATCGTATTTTTCCGATATTCTGTTTAAAGTGGTTATAGGTTATGTTAGATAGCCAATTTCAGTTGGTAAAAATAAATGTAAATAATTACCATCGATCGATTTTATTCCATTTCTTCATTGCATGCTCTTTATTTTTTAAATTTTCTTTTTATCTTCATCTTATAAATTGTTACACGAAATTTCAATTAATAAAACGAATATAAATTTATTTTATCTCATCTGTCATATACTCTTGCATCCTAATATCTTACGTAACTCATTACGATTGTAGGTTATGTTACACGAGAGTCAATTTTGATATAATAAAATCGATAGAAATTACATATTACTTCTCTTTTCTTTCTTTTGATAGAAAATCATTATGCGTCTTCTTCGTGTCCTCATCGTGCCCTACTTTTTCACTTGCTCTGTGAATTTAGCACGGTTATAGGTTATGTTACGCGAGGGTCAGTTTCGGCTAATAAAATCGGTGTAAATTACATCGTTGCCAACAATTAACGGATAATAAAGCTCTCTTCTCTCTCTCTCTCTCTCTATTTCCCTCTCTCTGATTACGAATGTGGCGATTCGACGTGCTCGATTAATGGACTCGCGCCCGCGTTTGGGTCTTCGCGACGAATTGAAACGCTTAACGCTTAGCGATTAGCGAATTCATTTGCAAATCGAACTAACTCCACCCCCCCCTCGAACAGAAGTGTAAGTACTTTGGTTGCAGGAGATGGATGTTCGAGGTATAGAATCGGGAGAATCGAATTCCAGAGTTTGAGTCTCTGGGATTTTGGGGATGTGTTTGCGATGGTAAGAATATTTTTTGGAGTTGAGTTCAGAGAGTATATACGAAAGAAATTTCTGAATAT